AGAAACCCTTATTCACCAAAGGACAACTTGATATGCTCAGCCGTTCTCAAGATAATATTCTCATGGAACACGCCTATAGAACAAAAAACAATACAATAGTCCTAATCATTATTCTATTTCTACAAAACAGCCATACTATGATATCAAATACAAAATTTATTCATCTGTAACATCAAGAACTTTAGTAAATTCTCAGAATTTGATTTATTCTAAACTAATAAGTGTTAGATGAATATTGACGTATAGTTTGAAGTTAAAAAATACTATCGAAATTAGAAGAGATGAAGTGGAGGACGGAGAAAATCGGTGATTTTATTCAGAAAAAACACGAGTATACATAGGTGGAATGAATAAAGAGAAGAATCTGTCGAGAAGTTTCTTCTCTTTATTAAACTCATGAAGAAAGATTGACAATTGATCGAGGTCACACAGGAACATAAGTACCTGATGTACGAAAGAGAAGCAAGATATGTACAAGAGAGAAACAAAGAGATAACTATGTAACATTCAGATTACGACAAAATTTACAGAACGAATATATAAAATGTGTTTTGAAAAAAATAATAAAAACAAGCATTAAGTTATATAAATTTCATTGTATGTTTGCATTTATTTAATCACATATGAATGTTAGTTATACAGTAGTATTCATTATTTTAAAATAGATTTAATTCAATATTAGAAAATGTCTGTAATTCTTAAAACATCTTCACCCATAAGTCATAATTTCGTTACACTTTAATGTTAATAATACAATCGAAAAATAATATATATTATAGTAAATGCAGAAGAGTATACATCATTATCAAGTTATTCATCTGATTTTTACAACGTTAACACCAAAAAAGAGAAAATCTTGCGATTATTAAAAATGATTTTTTTCTGAGAATGTCACATAATCAATAGTTCGATATTTTTGTTTTCCTTTTTCAATCATATCGCGACGAGACTCTTATATAGACGAACTAAGCTTTTGGTCATATTAATGAGGTTATTATTCTTTGAGAATTGATCTAAGACAAGTGCTTCTTGTCCATATCTCTCAAAGACGATTACATCATCGTTTAATACTATACCAAACAAAAGAGCTGCTATAGATCGAGTCACAAAGAATAATAATCTCGTTAAAATAGCTGAAAGCTCTATCCATACATATACAGATCTCATTACGAAAGTATTAAATGACTCAATTGATAATTAGTTTATTGATCATCATAATATATTAATCAAATTTCAATTATGAAAAACTTTATAAGAACATTTGGTTACATAAAATATCTCATTTCTTTATTCGAGTTTTTAATGGTTCTGACTTTTACAAGTGCAGGTTATTATAATCAGAATTTCTATAATTTGTTGATAAAGACAGCCTTAAATAAATAAAATTTCTTTACTCATTTGACAGTTTTGATAATATTTCTTTTTTAAATTAAAGGAAAACAAAAATATTCAAATTGACACATTAAATAAGTATTATATTTACCATTCAATGATGATTACAGTTAAATAAAGACTTTCAAAACCTTTTGAACTTACTGATTAACAAATTTAAATTTATCATTATAATTAAACTACTATTTATATATATATTAAAATAATTGTCTAATTATTTTTATTATATACACATCAAAGATGAAAATATATATAATTTGTTCTATATAAAAAAAGAAATTATCGAAATTTGTCATTTTAGTAAGCAAATAAAATAATATTTACATATTTATTTTTCATCATGAAAAAAAAAACTCCTATGAAATATAATAAGAGCAAAGTTTAAGAATAATTTCATCAGAGTAGTCTTTCAATAAACACTTCGGGTTTTTTTTTTCTTTGTTGATGATTAACGATAAAGATGAAGTGTTTATGGAAGACCATTTATTTCTTTACTGTTAGTTTTTATTTGAAAAGAAGAAGAAAAAGAAAAGGAACTTGTTCGATGTATTACACATAAGAACCAATGATTATATAAATGTTATTTTAAACACATAAAGATAAATATTTTAATCTATTGAGTTCAATATAATACATTTTCACTACAAATTTTTTTTTTGTCCGATTTCAAACGAACGATAAACAAATACAAAGAACTCAAATACAAAAAAAAACGTTTTTTTTTTTTTTGATCTTGCAAAAGAAAACAAATACACACACACGTATATATTGTGATTATAAAATGGACGGCTTGTATGCAACTGTTTAAAATCACAGTGATAAACATAAAATGAAAAAAACAAAACAAAATTTTCTCTGTTTAAAAACAAAGAATATTTTTGGACGGATAGAAAAAAAACAACGCAGAGATAATTGCAAATAATGTGTGTCACACAAGTTATTTCAAGAAACGGAAGACTACGACCCATACACACAAAATTATTATATACATAAAAGAGAAGAGAAAAAAAACAAGTCTATTCACTATTTTGATAATTTAAGATCAAAAGCTGTTTCTAATGAAGGTAATTTCGTTGGTATTACACTTTCATCTGTAATCCACCATGATGGTCGTTTTATACTACAACCTTTTACAGTTAAACATTCTGGATTACTAGGAGGTTCAATAATTTGTTGTTGTTGTTGAGATTGATCATCATCATCAAATAAACAATTGAATGTTGAATGTTTCGATGGATAATCAAATGCATCAAAAGCATTTGTATCAGCACCAGCTGCTGCTGCTGCTTCAGCTGATGATGTTAAATCAGTTAATGCTGCATTAAAATCATTAAATAAATCTTGTTCAGTTTTTGTTGATAATAATGGATGAACATCAATATCACTTGGTGTTTCACATAAATAAGCATCCCAATCAAATGTTGATGTATCTAATAAAAGCATATCTGTATCATCTAATTTAGTTCCATGAAAATTTTGTTTTGATATAACTGATGATGGTGAACTCGATGGTGATGGTGTTAATATCGATGAAAAATCATGTATATGATGAGGATTAAATGGTGAAACAATTAAAGAATCTGGTGATGATGTTGGAGAAAGAAAACTACTTGGCATTCGAGTATATGAACGATCAACAATTGTTGTATGACAATGAAGTGGTGATTGACTTTTCGAAACAATACATGGAAGTATTGGATCAATCCATGATTCAGTTTTTATATTTTCATGTGATATACGAGTTGAATTGGATGAAATTTTATTTGATAGAAATTGATTTGATGTTGATCGTTTCGAATGACGTTTACGTTTATTTGATGGAGAATTTAATTCTTGTTGTTGTTGTTGAGTATGAGCTAATGAACGTTGTCGTTCATAATCAGGTGATAATTTCCAAAAGCCACCCTTGCCACCTCCGGCTTCTTTTTTTGTTCGTGGAACTTTGATAAAACATTTATTTAATGATAAATTATGTCGAATTGAATTCTTGAAAAAAAAGAAAGAAATTTTAATTTCTATAATGAAATTAAAGTAGAGAAAAAAAACGGTACCTGCCAAGTTGGTTCCATTTTTTTAAAATATGGAAAATTTTCTGCAACCCATTCATATATCATTTGTAATGTCATTTTTTCATATCCTGATTGTTTCATAGCCAATAATATAAGTTGAGAATATGAATAGACCGGTTTTGCTTGTGGATTTGTTTTATACATACGCCATTGTTCATCACTATCATCATCATGTGTTATTGGTAATTCATTATTGTCTGATATATCATTTGGATAAATTGTACTATTTAATGGTGATGAAGATATACAAGATGATGATGGTCGTTCTTTACGTTTATTATTTGTAGCAACAGACGATGAAGAAGAAGAGGAATTTATTGCTGGCATAGTTCGTTTTAATATATTTATATCATGTAACCATGAAAGATTTGTTAGACTATCATCAAATGCATTAAATGTTGTAGTTTGTTGTTGTTGTTGAGGTATATGATGATTCGTTGTTAGTGATATCCGTGGTGTATTTGTATTATGTGTTGTTAATACATGTGGAGTTTCTTGAGAATTTATTTTATTCATTGGATTAATTTGTGGTACTAATGTATAAATATTTCTCTGAATTGGCCATTGTGTCATTGATGATCTTCAAAAAGAAAATATTAAAATTTGTTTTATTTCACTTTCAATACAAAAAGAAAAAGAAATAACAAAAGTTTTGGAGCATGTCGCCATACCTTTATGTTTATATTACTTTCTGACAATAACATCTCTATTTTGTTTTTTTTTGTCATAGTTTCAATTAGTTGATGAATATAATTCAGATGTAAAAACGCACACAAAAAAACGAGTGAAAAAGAATATTCTCTATTTCTCTTTAAGATTGTCGAAAAATGTTTTGTAAACATATAAGTAATACTACACTCATATACTTCGTTTTTTTGGCCTATCGCTTCTCAAGAGTTAAATTGCTTTTTCAGTTTCATTAGCTTCTTTCTTTTGTTCAAGGATGACTACACCTGTGTCTTGCCGTCATAACATTATTTACTTTTCACTTCTCTTTGTATTTTTTGTCGATCTTATGAAATGATTGACAGGTTGTTCTTCTAATTCATAAAAGAGAGAGAAAAATTGAACAAGTCTTATTCAAGGATAGTCTAATCAAGTAATTTGATGCGTATCTATTTACATTTGTTTCTCTATGATGTAATTTGTTATATAGTACTATATAGGAAAAAAAAGAAATGACTTACTGACTTATTCAACTGTCTTAAAAAATAGAAGAAAAAAAAATGTGTGTGCTATGGCGTAATAGTATAAAGTTCTAACAAGTCTTTATTCTATTTAATCAATTTATATGAAGACGAAGAAGAAAAAAAAGAGGAGGGAAAGAGAGAACCTTGAATTTTCTATATAATAAGGAATAATTATGGTACGCATTTTTCTACTATTCTTGTCGGAAACATTGGAATGCAAAAGAAATAAAACTGACGGGAGAAAAAGGAGAAGAAGGATAAAAAAAAAGACTAGGTAATAATGAACAAAAAAAACTTCGCACCACCGGAAATACCTATAAAGCGTGGTTGTATAAAATCAATTATTTGTGTTAATTCTCAAAATACATATGCAAATGAACAATACCTTTTTGTCACGATTGTCAGATGAGCCATCAATTTTATGTCTTTGATATTTCTTTAGTTTCTTTTTTCTTACATCAATGGACGTTGACGATGGAGCAAAGCGGACACTTAGACTGATTTCAGGTATGTGTATGTGTATGGAAGAATCGAAATTCTCTCTGCTTTCTTTTTCGACACACACACGCACACACACACACATATACAAAGCGAGAGGGAGAGAGAGAGAGAGAATAAAATTTCAAGCGGTCTCTTTTTCTTTCCCTTTTGCGAGCGTACCTATTCTTTCTCTCTCTCTCTTCTCTGATGAGATCGATGATGGAGATGCGTGTATATTTGTAAGATGCAACAAAAGAAGCATATGGTTAAAAAAAAGAAGAAAAAAAAAAGAGCAACACATTTGCGAAAAGTAAAAGCGATATGACGAAAAACGTTGTTGCCTGCGGTTTTTATGAATAAAAGAAGAAAAAAAGAAATTGTTGATGATAGTCAACGAAAGACAACATGCATGAAACGCACGCGAGTTAAGTCGTAAATAACTGCTTTGCTTATCTTTGAATGGATGTTACAAAATTAAATTAAATATTAGATCAATTTGATACAAAAAAGAAAAAAAGCGAAGAGAAGATTGAGTATTCCCTTTATTTATATATATATATATGTCAATACGTAAGCTTTAAAGTGTGCACAAGTACTATCTAAGCCTACAGCCCCCTCTTGTCTGATCAATAAGTACATTAGCATATCCTTTTAGAAAGAAAAAGAGAGTTGCTGATTTCATTCTGCATTTGTAGGTGCACATGCGAATAAGAGCGAGAAAACGTTACTTGAGACACACAACTCTTATGATGAGAATTGATGAAAAAGAATCACACAACCGTTACCATCATCATAACCTATATATTTACATAAAAACGAATTCTCTCTTCCTTTCTGTCTTTTGTATTATTGTTCAACTACTTTTACTTTTACTGACTGATGATTGTTCATAACTAACCTTCATATGGTGCAATCTGAGAAAGAATATACATACTTCTTTCGCTCGCCTTTTTTTTCTCATATATGTGTGTATGTACGTTAAAGAGTGTGAATAAGAGAAAGTGAAATCCTAGGATGGCAGTAGTAACTTGGTCTCGTAATTTTTACATCATCTTTTCTCTTTTTTTCTTCTTCTTCTTCTCCTTTTTTTACACTCTTACATACATCCTGATATATTCATCTAGCTGTTCAAATATTCAAGATCAATTTTCATTCATTCGTCTAAGAAACAATGAATGAACGAACGAACGAAGACAACGATGACTACAACTTGTGTGTTTACATAAGGAGAATAATGTAAGTACCCAAAAGTGGTACCATCTCATTTGTCTACTCAACACTTATACGAGTTGACTCAATTATCTACCTTACTACTACCGGCGCTGAATACTGGCAAAGGAGACTGTACGATATTCAGTGACCCACTTTACCACTCATTCAGTTAACAGCTGAGAGCAATCAATCAAAAGAAAAACAGACGAGTTGAACTTATCGTCATTTGACAAGACCTTGTCTTGACAAAAAGCATACTATTTCTTTTCTCATTCATTTTAAAGTAGATTATTGAATGAGTGAGAGAGAGAGAGACAGTAAGAATGATAAAGCTTGTTATTACCAATTGACAATGCAAATGTTAAGTTGTATGCTATATACATCTTCAAAATATACTCATGATCATCATACAAAAAAAAATAAAAGATCATAAAATGTTCGAGTTCATATAAATCATAATATTATGTATATATAATACATTATTGATTATTTAAAGTTTGTCAAAGGAAAAAGAAATGAATCTAATGTTTACTTTCTTCATTTATAATTCAATTCTAATATAAAATTACAGAATAAAATGCAAGTTATATAATCAAAATGAATATGATAAAGTTTCATGATTATTATAAAATCACTAAAGAAAATTCTCAACACGTTCTATTTAATATCAATCCGATCTTATATTTAACGTTCATAATAATAAAAAAAAAGAATTTTGATTTATTAATATGTTTTAATAAGAAAAACACGTCACTATCAAAATCCTTTTTGCAAACTGATAATTTACATCAAAGAAAAGAAAAACTATAATATCTATGAATAATATTTTTCTTATTTCAATTCGTTTTATTCTATTTATTTAAAACTAAAAAAAAAATATTGATTGGTTTTTATTTTTACATGCAAAAAAATTATTTTATTTATTAACATAAAAATGTTCTCAATGACATATAATAATATAAAAGAATAACATATGCGTGTTAATATATTAGTTCATTTTAGACAATAAAGAATAGAGTGATGATAGATAGAATCATAATAATGAAAGTTAAATGTCAACATTAATCTGGATAGAATATTATGCAAGAGATAAAAAAAATATTAAAATAGAATATAATAATAAAATTTTATTTCTTCTAAATTCGTTATAATCAGTACTTCTATTTTAGCATCAATAGACTATCATAAATTGTATTATTGTCAGATGAAATAGATATGACTATTATTATTAGTTAATAAATCAAGATAAAGAAGACAAATATTTTTGCTGAATTATGATGTTTACTAAAATTGTTTTTTTTTGTTAAAATAATAAAACAACAGAATGTTAATCAAGTAAGAACAACACAACGAAAAAAATAATAATAATAAGAACATTATGATGGATGATATATGTCGGAAGAGAAAAAAAATAGAACATTAATAAATGACAATGAAAAAAGAAAACTAAGTCTTTTGATTATTCTTATTTAAACACTTCCATAATTATTTTTTAAATCACGAAGAAGATGAATAGCTAATACAGCGCCAACAATTTCGACGAAAAAGAAGAAGATTGTAACACCACCTAATGCTTTTGAATATCGATAGAACATATTGCGTGCATACACATAACAACCAGGAGTAAATGTACCATTTCTAGCTGGATCTGTTGTTGAACAAACATTATTAATACAACATGAAGTTGGATACTCGTGACGAGCATATTTTTCCCAATCAGTTACATTATCAACACCACAACATGACATTGTTTGTTGAAGTCGATCCCATTCAGTTTTTACTTCTGAATTTGTCTTGTAGTCTGGTAATGTTTGAATTAATTTTGTACGTAATTGATCTTCAGCTTTATTATGAAGTGTAAATGCAACAATTGAAGCAATCAATTGAAGTAAAAGTATTATTATTAATGTACCAATAAAGATTTGTAATAAACTTAAACGATTTTTATATGCTCCAATAAAACCTATTTAAAATAAAAATTTATTTATTTGTAAAATTAAAATCAAATCTATTTACCAACTGCTGATAAGACAATAATAATAACACCTAAAGCAATAATAAAACCAGCACCTGATATAAGTGAATAACCAGTAATTTCGGAATCTAACCAAAATAAACATGAAATTCAAAAAAGAAATTAATTAACGTAAACTTACATTTTGTTGCATGTCTATGTGCTACACTACCCGTGATGAGGAGCGAAAGACCAGCAATGAAATATAATACCAAAAAGATATGAAACAAAAGCTTGTTTGAACGCATCGTTAATATAACTTGTTCGACTAACTGACTAGTGTCTTTCACCTATATGTTATTTTAATACTAATGTATACACGTATACAATCTAAAATAATAGAACTATATATAGAAGAGAGTGAAATTATAGAGAGAAAAAAAATGAGAGATTTCGATAGAATACGTCATTAATGTCGACAGTTAGTAGATACACATCCGACTGATTTATCGTTTTAGAGAAAAATGAAAACATAACAATGCTCTTCTTTTTTCTCTCGAAAATAAAAACGATAAATTTTTAAATTTAAATCAACTAACAAGAAATTTGGATTGTTCGGAAGATATTTTACAGATACAATTATAAATACAGACGAATAGGAATAAAGATAAAATAATAGAAAAATGAAACTATGGAAAAGAAAAAACTAATTTGGATAAAAGTATAAAGGTAGTGTCAGACAGAAGGAATATGTGGTATTGGAAAATAAAGAATGGTGACTATCAACAAGTTATTAAAAAAAACGACGAGAAAAGAGAAAATCTGATTCTTTCTTGTTGCCATATGGCAATTTATTTCTATAAGAAATTTTGGAGTCTACTCAAACTACAGAGTATACGTTTGAATTAGTTGGCACTATGTCAATCGATATATGCAAATAAATAACGAAAAAAACCAAAGGTTTTACCTGGACATGTGAAGAGGCTTAATCTTTTTTTCTCTCTTTATACTCCGGATAGATTTATATGCTCATTTCGTTTTTAAGCTATTCGAATAATGAAAAATAAAACTAGTTTCTTCTTCTTCTATTTTTTTTTTCATGAGAACCAAAACACATTTTTTTATTTTTCTTATCGACGCTATTAAAATTGTCTATATATGAAATACAATGCACTTGTCTATGATTAAGATTGATGAATCATGTGTCGTAATATAACAAGCTTTATTTTATCAACTAAATATTTTCTTATATACAAAAAAAACGAAAAGAAAAGAAAAGCAAAACTCTAGAATTTATCAATATGAAACAATTGCATTTGAATAGAATTTTTCATTTGTCGTGTAACTAAGAAGACTTGTTTTCCAAATGAACGAATACCAATAATATTTTCACTATTATTTATATTTAAACGATTAATTTGTCCATTTTGATCTAAAAGACATAAATCTATCTGATTATTTTCATTGATTTGTTTAATTATCCAATAATTATTTAATGGTAAATAAAGAATTAAATAAGAATTTTCTAATCTTCGTATATGTTGAATAGTTGGAAAAATAAATAAATCTAAAACATTCATTTCATCATTGATTTCAGTATTCATTGCAAGATAAGAATTCGAATAAAATTCAATTCGATTTATATCAATTGTATTTTCATCATCAACATAAAAATCATTTTTTGTCCAACGTTTTATTAATTCCATTGTTTTTAATGAATATTTATCAATAAATGAACCATTACTATGTTTAATTAACATTACATCATTATTTATAGTTAAATATTTCATTGGAATACCATCAATTGGGGTTATCTAGAAGAAAATTTAATGATTATTTTAAAGACAAACAGATCTTTTATTTTACTTGTGAAATTGAATAAATGTTAAATGGTTCGTGAGAGCAGTTTAACGCATAAAGTGATTGAGAACAAAGAACAAGAAATGTATTTAAATGTGAACACCATTTAATACATGTTATTATTGATGATTCTTTTGGCCAAAAACCTCCACCAATACGTTCGTCATGATCATATAAGTCTATTGTATGACTTTCATTATTACAAACAAGTAACTAAATTAGAAAAAAATGATTTTTCTTTTTGTTTTATAAAATAAAAAAAATTTACATGTTTATTTGATGTTTCATATAAAAGTGGGATATAATTTAATGTATTATCAATTTCAATATGAAATTGTCGAAAATAAGATCCATTAAGAATATGTTCAATATTAGGTTTTGTTTGAAGAATTATTTTAGGTGATTCAATATTATTATCATATTCAAATGAATTATTATTATTTAACGAACAGAGATTTCCATTACCAAAATCAATATTTATTATTGATGTACGTGCATCGTGTATACGAATATACATTTCATTTAATGATAATTTTAAATCATCGAGTTCATGGGGATAAAAATCACATTTTGTTGAAAGACGTTCGAGTTTTGTGGAAATATTTTCATCAAATTCATTAACGAGATTTTTCTTTTTTGATTCAAAATCAGAATTAACTTTGATAAATGATTGTTCAATATCATCTAAATATAATTTAAATTAAAAAAAACTACTTCAAAAAATAGAAATCGTATAAAAAGATTAATCAAATCAATTGTATAATCGTCATTTTTCATGATGTATAGTAGTATGTTAAAGACACAAGTTGTTAGAATCTTGAGTGTGTTTTTGTACTATTAGTTTCTTGCCTTTCCATATGTGCTTCAAGAACGCCGTTGCTTTGTCTATTCTTCTTCTGATCTCTTTTGATCAGTTATTAGGCTTTCTAGATACTCGAACTTATCGACAGTTTTTCTTGCCTACTCTATGTTTGTTTCACCGAACGTCATGGTCTTTGTTTTCATTTGTTTCTGTAAGAAGCTACAGTCTTCAATTTAAGGAAGAAAATATTCGCAGACATAAATTCGATTTCAAAGTCAGAAGTTTGCATAAGTCTCACAGCTTGATGAATTATATCTATCGTGAAATAACTTATGATTATCGATTTTACTAATACAATCATAAGACTTATTTGATAAAAAAAAGAACTCACTCTGTCTCAAACAATAGGAATTGAAACGAAGCTATTATTTAACAATTACTAAGAAATATTAAATTACATAACTACTCGATCTTGAAATTACCTAAAAGTTTTTCATGAATTCGTTCAATTTTAAGTAACATTCGCTCTTTCCATGAAGCTAAATTTGATTGAAGTTGTTCACGAGTATCAGTTACTTGCATTTCACTCAATGTTAAATAAGTTTCACTGGCTTCCTACAATTATCAACAAAAAAAAAACAAAATCAATAGAAATATTATTAAAATAATAAACAAACTTCAACAAGATTATCTCGTATTTGTTTTAATTCATCTTGATGTTGTGTTATATGATTAAGACAACAAATTTGATCACAATGAACACATTCCATAAAACCATCAGCTGTACATTGTTCATTGCTTTGTTTATCAATATGATTACATTGAATTAATGGTCGAAAACGTTTTGATGATCGTCGATTTTTATTAAGATTTATTTCGGATGATGAAAAACTACAATTCTCTAATAATGGTTCCTTGTTTAAAGACATTTTAAAATATAAATGCCTGTCGATCTTGTGATAAACAAACGAAAAAAAAATGCAAACTACTGTCACGATGTTTATTAAATATAAACGAACGAAAGAAACACGTGTTGTCTATATATAAATATATACACAGAACGAAAAGTCTTTTTGTCTTAAATTTTTTATCTTTACAACTATCATTTGAATATATTTCATGTATCTGTTATTGATTTATTTGCACTACAAAATATTTTCACAATAAAAATATCATATTTATACTATTTGAATCTTTCATATCACATCTATTTTATTTTTGAAAATTTTTAATTTCTTTTGATAAGTTTATTTTTTCCTCTATAAAAAGGAATAGAATAGGACATTTACCACCTTCATTTTATACAAGGATGTTTCTTTAGAAATATTGGTACTTTCATCTAGTACTTAGTTAAAATTGATTAATCAGTAATTAATGAATATCGATCGAACTATATGAGAAGAAAATCTAAGACTTTTGAGTCCAAGCCACATCTATTTTAGAATTTTCAGCAAGAACCCACTTCATAAAAATGGAATCTCATCAAGTGGGAGAACAAAAATGTTTGCCTTGTCATTATCTCATGCACTCGAGAAAAGTTTTTTACCTTTTCAATTTCTTCTCATACCTCTCGTTCAATTATAAAAGCAATATTTCTTTAGTATCCATCATGTTACTGACAAAAACTAAATCGATTTTTTCAAAAATTTGATAGATGATTCGGAAATACTTTAAGCAGTAATTTAAAGTCCTTACACACTGTACTATTTTGTTTCCAAAAAATGTTATTCTTAAACTAAACTGCAAAGAGTGAAAGTCAATGTTTTTTTAAGTAACGTTGGTAACTTTTCTTAACAAAGATCTTCAAAGATGGTTCTTTTACACTATATAAAGTAATATGACATGCATATAAAATATAAAAATTAATTACTGAAAAGGTTATCCATTCCTGAAATATGCACTTTCCAATTTTGTAAAGTCAAATTGTTAATAAATAATATTGCCTATATAATAAAATTAATTATAGAAGGAAAAACTACCATATGTTATATATTATTCTCAGTCTTTAGTATTAAATTTTAATGGAAAATATAGTGTAATTATCATAAAATTAGAAAGGAAAAAATTATTGTTCTTTAAGACAGATGTCTGGACATGGTTGTGTATTGATCTTGGTGTTTGACGTAAGCGAAACTAGATTATATTGACTTTATTCATTTATTTTTAAAAACATCTATGAAAAAAGTTAAATTGTATGTCATTACAACAAACGTCAATTGAGCGTAGCGATGTATGAAGTACATTTGCTTTATTTAACGCACTTCAAAACATTTTTAACAAAGCTCATATCTACCGAACAGAGAAAGAAAGAAAAAGTTTGCGTTGCTTATGGTTATTATGTATAACAAAAAAAACGCGTTTTTTGTCGGAGACATTACGTGTCTTTTTCCCATGTAACCGAAACACAACCACGCACATGCATAACGGCAGTAAAACACAAAGGAATATAGGTGAGCAATGAGCAAAGGTAATATGAACATAGACAATTTTATTTTTAAAAAAGGATGTATTTTATTACATTATCTGATCATATATTATTTCCTGTTAAAATTTATAATGAAAGAAATAAAAGAAATTCTCTTTTTTTGAACCAAAAATATCAATAATAATAATTCACAATATTTTTTATCTAAAAGAAAAAAATTGTAAGATTTATATAAATTTCTATTCTAGATGAATATTATTAATAAAATAGGAATGGAAAAATTATTTTCTATTTATTGGTTTGTTCTTCCATTGATTTTTATATTATTTTATATATATCAATTCATCGGAAGAAAAAAAACAACATTTCGGAAACCTCGTCGAGGTGTTGATCGGAGTCAAACATATCCTCGTCAATATCCTTGTGGTTGGTATCGTATTTGTGACTCAGATGAAATAGCTAAACCAGGTCAAGTTAAACATGCATATGCACTTGGTCGAGAAATGGTTGCTTTTCGTTCGGATGATGAACATCATCGAGCCTATGTCTTAGATGCATTTTGTATTCATATGGGTGCAAATTTAGCTTTCGGTGGAAAAGTTATGCCAGGTACGAATTGTATTCAATGTCCTTTTCATTTATGGCAATTTAATGGAGAAAATGGTCATTGTATGAAAGTTCCTTATGTCGATGGAAAAATACCTGAAAAAGTAAAAATATGTCATATTAAATATTAATTGATCGTTTCTTTTTAAGGCTAAAATGCAAACATATTCATGTGTTGAACGTTATGGAATGATTATGATTTGGTATCATCCATTAAATGAATCTCCACATTATGATGCTGTTTATATTGATGAATTACATAGTGATCAATTTCAATATCGTGGTGCTTATCATTATCCAAATATTCACATGCATTTACAAGAATTTGCTGAAAATGCAGCTGATTTTCAACATTTTCAACCATTACATGGTCAAATGTTAATACCATGGACACAAACATGTGTACCATGTGTATATGTTCATCATCAAGCATCATTAGAATTTAGTACTGATAAACCTTATATCGCATATTTTTATGATACAGCAATGTTAAAAATTTTTGGCAAAACTTATGAATCAACAAAAGCTAATGCATCAATCACATTTTATGGTCCTGGTGGTATAACAGTCTTTCGTTTTGATCTTGAAATTGGAAGAATTTATTTATTTCATACTCATACACCAACTGATTATACAGAATTAGATGTTGAATTTCGAGCATATGTTGAAACAAAAATTCCACGTTTATTACATTGGTATGTTATTGGAAATTGGATTGCACAATGGAGAAGAGATATTAGTGTTTGGGAAAATAAAGTAATTAGTTAAATTGAAATTTTGTATGAAAAATTCATTTTATTTTTTTTAGGTATTTAGACGAGCTCCATTTCTCGTTAAAAATGACGGTCCAGTATTAAAAATGCGACGTTGGTATAGCCAATTTTATCTTTCTAAAGAAGAACTTGAAAACATTATGGGTCCACTTGATTGGTGATATTTTTCATATAAATATATACTTCTACTAACTTTCTAATTTTTATAAATTTATTGATAAGAATGTTTAATTAATTAGATAAAAATAAAAAAGAAGAAAATGCATAAGGGATTAAATAGAGAAAGAAAAGAAAAGAAAAAGAAAAGGATGTGTGTCTTATTCATTAATACAAAAAAAAAGGAGGAAAGTAGTTGACAAAGATATTAATGTGATAAATTAATAGAAAGAAGAAAAAAAAGAAAAGTCTATGGGCTGTTTTTGTTCAACAATGAATCGTATTTATGTTCAACCATTATTTACTGCAACGGATATATCATGTTTAACTCAATCATGGAATATTTTAAAAAATCATGATATTATTAAATTTGCTGATGAAGTTCTTATAAAGTAATGAAAATAAAAGATTTTTTTGAAATACAATTTCTTTGTTTTAGAGGTATGCATCGTAGTTCTAATCTTCGACAATTTTGGACATCAAGAATGGTTATTGATAGTAATAATTATGATTATAGTCAAGGTGAATCATGTTTAAGAACTGATTTAAGTTGGCTAATTGGATTACGTGAGCATAGTATTCATTTTACAATGACATTTGATAAACTCATATCATCTATTAATGATGAAAAACTTCTTTTAATACAAATTCAATCACTTCAACTATTACAAAATATATCGACACTTGAATATGATTCATTAATAGTAAATATCTTTTTTTTCTCTTTTTCTAATTAGCTAATAATTTTGTTAATTTAGATATTAAAACAATGTATAATAGAAACAATTCGTGAACGTTTTCAAATGTTTAAATATAATTTTGTAATTGATTATGATCAAGCATGGAATAAATTTTTATCATTTATTATTAAATATTTATTAGAAAAAAAGGATAAAATTCGAGGACCTACAAAAATTATTATATCACCTGCAACAAATATAGATCAAACATCAAGTAATAAATAATATATTATCAAATGAAACAACAAACAAAAGGATTAATGACGAACAAACTATTTATGTTATGTATGTGATATGAATGTTTTTAGTAAAGATTAAACTAGAATTTTCTTTTTCTTTTTCAAAACTTGACAAGATGAAAACTTCTGCTTTTTTATTAATTAATTTTTATTTTTAAAAGAAAAAATATAATTAATGACGTATGAAAAGAGAATGGTTTAAACTATTAGACTAGAAACACGGCAACATCCTGGATTTGTCGTATAAGATTGAAAAAGCATTTGTTGAAGTATAAGGACATTTAATAGAAATTGACAGTATTATTCTTCTAGAAAGCTATTTTATTACAGTTAAAAATAAATTATCTATACGATAGCATGAATAGTATTAGTAAATCGGAGAAGAAGTCCTCTAATAAGTAGATATTAATAAATATGCGTTTTAATTTTCTTTCTTTTGCATAGATGATTTTAATATAGTTTATCATTAATGTTATCGTATTAATAAAAAAGGTAAGAAAGAAATTTATTTTCATACTCCAGTATTGTTCTATGTAGCAGATATAAAAAGTGTTTCATGTGTTAAAACCCTGGAATAATGACTAATAAGCTAGTATCTTCATTCTATAAATGAACAGGATTCTGACAGTTTCATATTACCATAATTATGAATGTGAAATAGTAGAATTACTGATATTATAGTATACATTTTAATTAGCCGTAAAATGTAATATCTATATAGATATTTGAATCTTGAGTATGTTTAATAAACATGTAACTCTACGATCTAATTAGAGAACTAACTCAACGACTGTTCCTCATTAGAATTTAGTTTTTGTTTATAAGTCTATATAGGATAGTCTTTATTCGCATCATACATTGAAATGTTTCAGTTTTGCCCTGGATAATATTCGTCGGTCAAATAGTAAAGACTTCAGCTCTCTATCTGTAACCTTTATTGACATATTTGAAAAATGCTGGTAGTCATTTGGATATTAGTTATATATTAAAAGATAATTATTGAAAACTTTGTTTAGAAAATCTATTAAATTTTATTCATCATTTTACATACAAAATATTTTCATATCAGATAGTGACGCGAAAAAAAGGATAAATTGATTGCTTCGTGATTTTGACATTTCAACGTCGCGATTATCATAATTAACGAGAATATCGTTCATAATAAGAAGGTAATTTGAATAGAAATAATATAACAGTTGTTATTATAGCCGTTGGTACTAGAAAAAAAACGTAAAGTAATAAATATTACTAAAAGAAAAGAACAAAAGTTTTTACAGGTGCCTCGATATCGTCGTTTTGAATTGTGTAAAGAAATTTCTTTACTCTGTTGTGCAAGAGAATTGTACAATGGTGTAATTTTTGTTGTTGTTGTATACCAACGAGGGATTATTAATGACGAAGGCATTGCACAATCTAGAATATATCAACTGAGATATTTGTAATGATAACATTAATTTAATATTCGTTGGATATGTTTATTTTCAAAAACAAAAACATAAATCAAGTTCTTTTTAATATTAGAAATCGTGATTGATTTAATATTAGTTTGAGACACGATGCGTAGATCAAATATTTTAGAATTCATTAAACTATTGTTTCAAACAATTTCATGAGAAACATATGCCGCATGATTGGTTGTTTATGAAAAAATTGTTGTTTCCTTTCCGGTAAGCTATGAAAAGAATTTTTTTTCAGTATAAGAAATATGCAATGACTAATGCTCACTTTATCGATTAAATATACTTTTAAATATAATTGTTTCAATACAGATTTGTTGATTCTATAATAAAAAGAAATAACTAAAGAATATTCATTTGAAAATGATTTATAAGATGTTACCATTCAATCATTGAAGTTCAGATCTATTTGTAGTCTTTATTCAATAAGCAACTTCATAGACTCGACAAAATCTATTCAGTCTCGATAATCATATTTTTTTTTGGTCATTCAAATCGCTCTGTATGAATTTGCACATATTCTTTTTCATATCACCAAAAAACTACACAATCGTCTTTTCTTTATTTTGGGCGTTCATTATCAAAAGATATGTCTTTGCGCACATTGACGAAAGAAAAAAAAGATTAAGATAATATGTATGAGAGTGTGTGTGTGTGCTGAAAAAAGCCAATAATAAACAAACAACAGACATGTAGAGCGAGAAAAAATGCGCGCAAAACGAAAACAGAAAACACACAGTTGTTAATGACAAAAGAAAAAACGATAAAGGAAAACAAGTTGCTAAACGGTAACGAGAAAAAGAAAACGAAGTGAAAGGTTTCTATGTTTGCGTGAAGATGAATAAGAGTAGAAAAGAAACAAACAATCAATTGTCATTACAAACAATATGTGTTAAATACGCATGTTACCAGTCTAAGTTAGTAACCGGATGTGTTGTACGTGACAAAACAAAAAAAAAGAATAAAAAAAACAAAAAAAGACCATCACCACAATCATCAATAATAACAAGTTTTTTTTTCTTTTCTTTTCTTTTTTTTTAATAATAGAAGGAAAAAACAAAAGTTTGCTCGTGGAACTACACCGGTTATAGGAAAACAAAAACAAAACAGTTGGGTTGAGCAGACAAATAGAGATAGAGAAAGAGAGAATACACTCGGATGAGAAAAGAACAATAAGAAGAAAAAAAAATCTATTGCGCGCCAATGAAACAAGAAAAGTTTTTTTTGTTCGAAATAACAATCAAAGATTTTTGTTTTTATATTTAATCGCCACGACGATAAAATAGTAAATAAGGCGTAAGTTTTTCAGCTGATGAATTCATCACTTGACTTGATGTGACAACATGAACATTTCCATCATCATATCGAACCCATCCCTGAAGTCCAGGATGAAATACATCAGTTATATAATGTCCATCTGTTGCACGTTCACCTTGATGATATTCAACAGCAAATAATTTATATCGTTCAAAAGAATGTTTTTTTGCTTGTTCGGTTAAAATATCTAAAACAAAAAAAGAAAGTGAATAAGTTTAAAACAGAAAAATAGATATTCTTACTTTTTGGTAATGTTAAATTAACAGTATAATTTATAGATTTATTGATTTTTTTTGTTCCATCAGATTCATCATAGAGAAAACATTTTAAATGTATTATAAGAATTGGTGGTAATTGTTCGATTAACATGGTTTTGTTTGTATGGATCTATAGAAAAAATATAATTAATCGTTTTCACTTTTTAAATACGAAATCACATACATTTTGACGACTTTTACTATCAATAAAATCGGAAAGTGTTGATTGTTCACAAAAGCGTAGTAGTGCTTCATCAAGCGATGTGATTTTTGGATCCTAAAAATAAAGTTTATATTATATATATTCATCTCTAATGTAATAAATTCATTCTTACTTTAATATCAAGTGAAAGAGTGAAAAATGGTTCATGTACAACTGATTTTTGATTTCCAGCGCTATGTACTGTTGAACGGAATTTTCCAGAAAATATATCCGCAATAAGACTTTTTCGAATTTCATTCTAAAATTTAGTAGATTTATGAAAAATAAATTCTTTTTTTTGTAAAATTTAAATTACCGTTCGAAGAACATGTGTACGATTTTTTTTACCCACTTGAAGCCAATCTTCAGCTTTTTCTTCTCCATTTTGTAATGCTGGGGTTGTTGTTGTTATATCCGACGTATTTAAAGATTCTTCTATAAATAAATGAGATAGGTTTTATTTCATGCAAAAAAATGTGTTCAATTTCATACCATTCTTATTTGTCGATGTATTATATAAAATCGAACAAATTTCATCATGAAGTTCACTCAATAATTGACATAATAATTCATGTGCATCTTCTTGTTTTGTTTTAACAGCATCAACTGATAAACGACGAAGACGAGCAATTTCTTGAAGAATATCAATTGGATCAAATGGTTGACCACAAATAATATCTTTATGATTAGCTGTACTTGATTTACTACGATCCATTTTTTCAAATTGATTAACAAATAAATGAACAGCTTTCATACATGGAACATTATGATCAATAGGATCGTCATTAAGTGGAATATATTTCATGACATTAAAAAACGCAGGACATGCAAGAAGTGCTTGAAGAGTTGCATTAATATAACAATAATTATTTTTATTTATTAAACCACGTGGTTTAATAGCCATAGCTGATGGTCGTACTTCACATTTAGAAAAATAATCTTCTAAAGATTTTGATTCTCCACCATTGCTATTATAAACATGATAATTTGGTCTTGAATAAAAATTATTTGTATTAGATTTTGATGGAACATTTCCATTTTGTTGTTGAGATGGTATTGTTGAATTTTGTGTTAAAGATGTTGATGTTGAATGTGATTTTTTAATTGGACTAGTTGATTGTTGTGGAAGAGATGATGGTTGAGTATTTGTTAAAGATGCTGTCTGACTACGAAATAAATCTGCCCATGATGATGGTTTTGACTTTGATATATCATTTTGTTGTTTAACTGGCGATGATGATGGTGATGAGATATTATGTGAAGGTTTTAATGTTTCAATTGAAGCTCCACTTGCAACTGATGTGGAATAAATATTTAAATCATTTGTTAATTGATTTGGTGTATTTAATAAATGTTGAGTAGAATTATGATTGGATCTATTGTCTAAATGATGTTCAGATGAGATTATATTAACGGGATAACTTGGTCGAGTTGTTGATGTACTATGAAGAAGATCATTATCATTATCTGTATCTGTTGTTGTTCCAGCTTCTAAAATATAGAAAATATTTTCATGATTAACTGTAAGGAGAAAATAAATGTGGAAACTTCGGATTTTATCCGAGAGTTATGTGTACTGCAAAAAGAGGAAATAGACACTGACCTTGTTTTTTTGGTTCTTAGTCAACAATAAACAGTTTTAACGGCAGTGTCAGTATATGTGAGTTTTTCATCATTTTCGGACAGTGTAATGTTGAGGAAACCTCAAACGCACCATATTTACCCCCTATCATTATTCAGGGCACTTCACAAATTCTATCTACTCCAAAAACACTAGGTAAGAGGAGTAATTTTTAAATGAATTTGTGTTTGTATCTAGGGGAATTACGATCATAAGCAACCTCATGAATTTGTAAGAGATATATGATAGATACAGACATCAGTATTTTCATAATAACTCACCAATATTAATAGTTATCGAGTTCGAGATTTTACCTTTCGATAGCCCTTTTGACCAGCTACAAAACCAGGTATTTAAAAAACTCCCAAACTACTAGTCATCTGGGACATATCTAGGCAATTTGATTTCTGGATACAGTGTTTGTGCATTTTGAGACCTTTTTCAGGCGATGTTTTGTTAGAAAGCTACAATTTGGTTCAAAACTAATATCAGATTCGGAATCAGCGCTAAAAACTGAGTCGATTTATATAAGGTGTGAATAATTTTCAGAAAAATATTTTTTTTTGGAAAAAAATCCCTGTACTCCCCCTCAGGGATTGCCTGATCAATAATGAGAACTTCTTTTATAACACAGCTATGGTACAACTGGTTGGGCTCATCTTCGAACTCGACCGAGATATCAATGAGACTAAACTCAGTAGAAAATTTCAGCTCAGTCTGATTCCCCTTTCGATAGTTATCGTGTAAACGGCCGGACGGACACACTGACCGATTCTAGTAGTGTACTCACTTTTTGAGTACACAAAAAGAAGAAACAAGAAAATCTATATTGTATTATTTGAATCTTACCATCTGAATCAATTTCATCATCATCATCATTAATTGATTGTTTGGATGATGATTGATCATCATCATTATTTGCTATAAGTTGATGTTTCATAGTTGAATCAACCCATTGATCACACGAAATAAGTCTAGCATCATTTGATGATAATAATAATAAATTTGATTCATTATAATTTTGTTCTATTTGTGGTGTTTGTTCATTTGAACGTATCTGTATTGGTGTTGTTTCATCTTTTTGTCCGTTAATTTGTTGTTGTTGTTGTTGTTGTTGTTGAAGTGTAGATGGTTCAAGCATTTGTTGATATTCTTGTCGATAATAATTAGGTGGACGTTTTTTCTTTAATTTTCTATCACTATGATGACGATTATGTGATGATGATGATTGTTTTGTTATTTTTAAATTTTCTATTGATGAACTTTTTGATGAATATGGTGGAGATGTTAATGCTGAACTTGTTGATTCCTGATGAGATGAACTTCCATTACATGAATTATAAGTTGGATATGAAACACCGGTACCACCTGTTGGAGAGATAACAGGTGGAACATCAAAACCAAATTCAATTGCTGTTGTCATACAATCTTCAGTTGCCCATGGAAACTAATATACAATAAAATAGAATAAGAACAAAAACATTAAATTTAAAACAAAATACCTCAGGTTCATTGATTTTAACGGATTGTTTATCATGACCGAAGAATTTTTCTGTTTCTTGTTCAGAAAAATCACCAAAAACAAAATCCTATTAAATTTAAAGATTTTCTTTTTTCAAAATAAAATAAAATAAACAACTTACAGCCATTATAATGTATCGAATAATAAAGAGAAGAATTCAAATTTATATGTTTTTATTTTTAAACGAATATTTTAACGACATCATAATTTAAAATGTTATTATACTGCCTAACAATCATTATCTACAAATATGATTATTTTAATTAATTGCGCAGTTAAACTTTGATTTAATATGAAATTAATAATATATATCTGTATGTTATTACCAGTTTTTGTCTCTTAAAATAATTGATTCATTTTTTGAGTTTTAAATAATTTAATAGGATGAATTTGTTGTTTTCTTTTTTTTTCTTTAAGATTTCTTTTTCTCTTTGTTGTTTATTTGTTTCTAATAGTATTGTTGCCGAGAACATCGAACGTTCGCTTGTTCGAATAATTATCTTGGTATTTTATGGCAACCAATAAGATTTAGTTTTATGAATAAATAGTGTCCTCTTTTGATGTGTAGATAAATTCGAAAAAAATCTTAAAAAAATCATGTTTTTTATTATTTCGAAATAGATAATTAATTAAAATAGAAAACTTCAACGAAAATAAATCAATCAACAAATTTAGTTTTTATTTATGTCAAATAAAATATTTAATTCACAATTATTTTCATCAAAATTTTTATTTTTAATTCAAAATTTTCTTATACAAGCGACATCTACAAACTCACTTGGTTTGCACTTTAAGAATACAAATCTAGTTTGAATATGTGACAAAATAAAATGACAGGTTTCTGTTATTCTAGGCAAAAGATTCATTCAAAAACTTTGATGATTCATCACAGAATATATTCACTCTACTTAATCTTTATTTGGCGATAAGTAGACTATAATGAAATTTCTTTTTTTTGGTATTTCGTATATTAAGAATTAGGTAAAATATTGTCAATGAAATTTATATTCGTTGTTCATCTGCCTATAGAAACCGTAAAATTCTTTATTTTATGATACGAGTTGTAATGGAAGAAGAAAATTACATTGGAAGAAGGTATACTGTATATTGTAGCGTTAAATGTGGAACATTTTTCGGTCACAGTTTCGAGAAAAAAACGACCTTGAATGGTTGTTTGTACAATTATTACTGTGTCAGTCTTGCATTTTGTGTACGACTCGAAAGATTGATACTTCGGAGAACAAAACCGTATAACTACCTTATCATACTTCACCTGTCACTAAAGATAGGTTCATTGGGTTGAATATTTCTGTTGTCAATAACAATCAAAAATTAGTAGAAACACCTGACGATTGAAATTGTATATATTATACCTACATATATATGAATTATTAGCAATGCATTATAAAAATAAAGCCTACAGTTGTTTCTTTCAAAGCGTTTAATTAGTTTCATCTTAACATCCATAATAAAACTATCGTTTATATTGAATTTGTACCCAGCTACATTTTGGCATCAATTATAATATAGATATATTGCTTTGGCTATAATAAATCATATTCTTAAATGCCATCTACAAGTATCAGTTTTATTGCGTCTATACACATGTGTCTTGAGCCAGTTCTATGTTTGTAATCGAATATAAGATCTATCATACTACTGATAGAATGAATAGAGAATACTCAAACGAAAGCTTACATGAATTTATATATTAGTAATACACAACATAATCTTTTTTCTATAAACTTTGAAATCTAACTCTATTTTTTATTCATTCTTTTAAAAAACATAATCTAAGATTATAAAAATTTTATACAGTTGGAGTTTTTGTAAACATTGGTGGAACAGCATCACCATTATTCGTTTTATTCTCAAGTTCATTTAAATCATCGATAAATCTTTTGACAGTTATGGATGAGGGTAATTTTGCATTGTGTTTAAATGCTTCTAATGATGTTAAACATCGATTATCAAGCATATGAAAATGTTCGAGTATAGGATTGAAATTTTCATTATTATTTTCAATATGATTTGTTTTATATATTAGTAGATCAGTAAGCCGTTGCATAGCAGCAAAATATTGTTCATTTAAACGGGTTTTATGTTTAGTTTGTCCATTAAGAGTAGCCTCAGATACACCTGAATTAAAATGATATGAATTTTAAAAATATATAAAATTATTTAACTTACTACTAATAATTCTTATGAACCGCCATAAACGAAATGTTAGTATAAGAATTAATTTTTTACCAATTATCTTTTCTTCACCATGTAAAAACGCTAAATCAATAATTAGTGATGTAATAACAATGAACGCATCAAAATATTGCATTTTTTTTCGTTGAATATTCCAAAATTCTTTTCCCAATGCGTAAATTTTAATAAATAATTCGAAAAGAAAAAAAGTTAAAATAGCAATTGAACAATAGTGTATAGTTTGCATTGCTGATTCCAGACGTTCGGCAATTACTTCGTAACGATGTTTTTTTAAACGATGAATTTTTATTTGACATTCATATTCATTTTTTAATGCATCTAATAATATTTCAGTGATTACTAGTGCTGCATCAACAACAACTAAGAAAATAATGAAGACATGAAATGGATACGATTCTATAAATTGAGAAATGATCTTCTGATGATGGTAACCTTGATTCCACCATTTTGAATGCGATTTATTGGATTTTGACGATGAATTTTGTTCTTCATGAGGAACGAACTCGACAACTTCAGACTTATTTATCATCAGTATATTTCTAGTGCGTCCGGGATTCTATGACCCCGAAACAATGTAAATGCTGAATTAAATAGTTACGATAAGAGCGAGAAATGCAAAAAACAACGCTTCTTTTTACCATTTCTGTTTGCCAAAATACTATTTTTTTTGTCGATTCTCTTGTGTTGTCGACATACCACAATTCGTCGATGGCACGTTTTTTATGTGCGCCATTACGCCAGCTTGAGAATATTTGGATAGAAAATAATTTATCTGATGTCTCGTCTAGTGTCATATTCAGATGTTCTTCATATTTTTTCTCCTACTTAGGAGATACCAAAAGCAATGCGTCAGATACCTTTTTTTGTCTAGAAGGCTTGCAAAAATTTTCTTTTTCTATGCACAGATAGAGCATCTTTCATTCTATTTTTCCATGCTGTTTGATCACTACTCATCTGTTATAATAAGAATAACATTTCGATAAAATCTATTTTTGTCGCGTATGTGCTGGTACCATGAATGCTCGTCACTATTTTTGCAATAACTTTCGATAGAAACAAGATAAAGGATTGCAGTTTTCACCGTTAGAATGAGAAAATGATGAAGCATCGAACTGTGTATTATTGATAAATAATTAAATATAAACATCTGAGTCTATTTCAGTTTATAAATCTTCGATTAGCGGTTTGAATGTGAATACGATTAATGAAAACTCACTGTCAAGAACACAGAATAGGTTTGCTCCTTAAAAGGTCAACTGGAAACCTCACATAAAGCAGGCTATTAAAATCAGTAATACAAGTTTCGATGCTTCATCATTTTCTCATTCTAACGATGAAAACCGCAGTTCTTTATCTTGTTTCTATCGAAAGTTATTCAAAGAGTATCCGACAAAAATAGATTTTATCGAAATGTTATTCTTATGATATCAGTTGAATAGTCATCAAACAGGATGGAAAAATAGAGCGAAAGATGCTCTATCTGTTTGTAAAAAAGGAAAATTTCTGCAAGCTTTCTATACGAAAACAAGGTATCTGACTCACTACTTTTGGTATACCCTCAGTATGTGACGTTCAAAATCAAATTTTTTTAAGAAACATCTATTATTGCTGGTGGTGCACAAAGTAATACTCATAGTTTTTTTCTTTTATAGATCGATGTTCGAATCCTTTGAAATTATTAATATATGTAACTACAGTTTTTCCTTGATTAGACGAACCTAATGATTGTATAATCAATAAATTCTAATATAATACACGATTTATCGTTTTAGTAAACGAATGAACTATGCATCCAATAACATTGTAGCAATCTCAAAGCTAATATTTCGCATGAATACTGAAATTTCAATAAACATTTTTATTAATAAAAAGAATTAGATTTCCTTTAATGTGCTTATAAGCGGTGATTTTACGAGCATTTCTCGAATAATGTCTTCAGCGTTATTATTTTCAATTCCATGTAAATCGTCAATAAACTGCTCGACCGTTAGTGATGAAGTTAATTCCTCATTTTCATGAAATGCTTCCCATTTTGAATCACATTTACTATCAATCAGACGAAAACGTTCAAGTACAGAGTTCATATCCTCATTATTATTTTCAAGATAAGTTGTTTTAAATTTTAGTAGCTCAATTAGTCGATGCACTGCAATAATATACTTTTGATTCAAACGATTTTTATGTTTTCTTTCTCCACTACGAATACCTTCAGCGACACCTAATGAAAAGAAATTAATTTTACGTATATATAAAAATAATTTAACTTACTACTAATAATTCGTACAAAACGCCATAAACGAAATGTAAATATTAGAAGTAATTTTTCACCAAGAAGTTTTTTTTCACCTTGTAAAAATGCTAAATCAATAGTTAGTGATGTAATAACAATAAATGCATCAAAATATTCCATTTTATTTCTATGAATATTCCAAAATTCTTTTCCTGCTCCATAAATTTTAACAATTAATTCAATAACAAAAAATGTTAAAATCGCTATTGATGAATAATGTGCAATTTCCATACCCAATTCAATATGTTCTATTTTGATTCCCATTTCATGTTCTGATTTATGATGAACATCAGTTTTACATTCATAATGAATTTTAAATGTATCTAATAATAATTCTATGATTACAAACCCTGTGTCAGCAATAACTAAGAAAATAACGATAAAACGAAATATGCGTGATTCTATAATATCAGTAATAGCTTTTTGATAACATAAACCTTGATTCCACCATTTTGAATAGCATGTATTCGATTTTGAAGATAAATTTCGTTTTTTTTTATTGACCAAAAAATTGTCAGTTTCCTTTTGATTTACCATTAGTAATATTGGTTGCTTGTTTGACGTGACAAAACGATGAGTATGAATAAATATGGGCGTTGACAAAAAGTATGCATATAAGAAGGTTATATATATATATGGATGAAAAAGAACAGGCTTTCCTTCACGTTTGTACTTTAACCAAATTAACGACCTTATTTTGATTGTCACATCACGATCGTTAAAGAATCACCTATCGTATGTTTGTTTTGCACTGCTATATGCATATCAAAATGAATAATCATTGAAATAGTTTGGTTATGTATATGCAAGGCTATTTACAGTTATTTGCAAGAATAAATTAATTAATAAATACTATCAAAATTATTTACATTCAAAATAAAAATTTTTTTATAGATATATATTCAGGTATAGTATAGTTAGTTTCTCACAATAATTATTTTTATTCTGGCTACACATTAATAATATAGATACACCTTTTTTTTGCATTTTAAATTATTTTAATAGTATGTGAGAATATTCTCTATGAAATAATAGTCTTCAGATAATTTTATTACATTAGGTGTGAAGATAGAACTATTGATATCATGAAATAGAAGTCTCTTATCATTCTATGAAACTTCTTTGATAATTCATAACTATGCCTTCAAATAGAGGCACATTAGTATAACTTTAATATGTTTGCTCAAAGGTGAACTGATAAGAAAATGTGTATTTTATAATCATACGACAATTGAATGAAGTACATTGAACTATAAGATGAATATATTCAGTGAATTTTTTCTATTATTTATTTTATTTATTACAACTATTTTTTCAACATTCTTTTGTATAATCGGTTTATCAACACCAGGATGGTACTTTGATAATTATCGTAATTTATTTTGTGATCAATGTCCAAAAACTCCCAGTAGTCTTGCTATTATTTCTATGATATTACTTATTATTTGTATTATTTTACTTGCTCTACTTATTGCTAGAATTATTGATCAACAACAAATATTTTTAATACGTTTTATTATACCATCATTACTTATACTTAGTACCATTTTCTTATTAATTGCTCTTACATCTTATCTTAATTTTATTAATCCAAATCATGGCTATTCATATTATTTAAGTATAATATCATTTCTATTTTCTTATATAGCTTCATTATTAGCTGTATTTTGGCTTGGTACTGGTGGTTTTCTTTCAAAGACATATTCTGTAGATATATTTATAGAAAATCGTTAGAATATAGAATAATTTATATGTAGAAATTAGTTTCAATTAAAATAAAATGAGTTTATGACATATTCTGTCATATTTAGAAAAAAATAAATTCATTTTCATCAATTAAAATCACGATGAAATTAAAGAAATATTTGTACTTAAAAATAATTTCAAGAGATTAATTTTTTGTAAAAAAATATATATTGAAATGAACTCAAAATATGAATAAAGATTGATACAGAAATACTTTCAATCACGATTGAGCTCAATAGAATTAACGCATGGGGTGAAAAAAACGTATATTATTTCCTTAAAGATCTATAAAAAGAAAAATTATTTTAGGATACTTAATATCTCACTGATATCGATTAGTCAAGCAAATATATGGTTTACAAAATGATTTTGATAGGATAGAAGATAAATAATTGAATAGATTATTTATAAAAGCAAATGATTAATAGAGTCTGGAGAGATGTTTTTAGATAAAACTGTAAATATTATAAACATTTTATTTATCTACATTCAATAATTCTATGAAAAAAAGAAGAATACAACATTGATTACCTATGTTGCATGATACAATAGATTTATCATTTGAAGTTACATTCAGACTTTCTTCTATAACTTGTTTGTTGTAGTAGTAGTAGTTATATATAGTTCCTGGTTTATAGCCCATTAATAGCGCTATTATAGTAACTTGAAGAACACTTAAATACTCTTCTGTTTCATCCATATTTTATTCTGTTCCATCTTTATATATTTATATGTAAAGAATATAAAAAGAAAACAACATGAGCTCTATTGTAATAATAGATAATTGATACGTTATCTTGTTCTACGTACCTAACAGTTGTCAGCATTGATTATATTCTTAGAATTATTGAATATATAGTAGATAGTGACGAAAGTTAAGATAACAACTATAGAATGAAAATAACATTTATATATATATATATATATGTGTGTCAACAAGATTCTCAAGTAGGTTATATTTGAAGAGTGTAGACATTAGACAATGAAGCCTACTTAAAAATCTAGATGACGTTGTACATTCTACTACTACTATGATTCAATATAAAATGTAGGAAAAAACTTTTTTGTCACATTGAATCATTAAAATTATATAAAAATAATAGTGAATAATTAGTTTGAAAAAGTGTAATTTAGCGTAAATCAATAAAAGTCCATTATCAATACTTCATAAAAATAATCAGATAAGACATTACCAATTTCAGACTACATATCCAATGAGAATATAATAATTAACTAAACCCATATCTACAGAAAATATACCTGGAGAAATCAGAAAATTATTTGTTGTCTCAAAGCATTTACCTTTTTTCAAATATTTTCTATAAAACTCACAAGAACAGCAATCAACTCTACACTCTTGAGATATCAATGTTTCTATCATCATGCTGTGAAAAAGAAAATATACATTCAGAGACCTTCATTGTATAAGGTGAAAATAAATCTTTTCAAATATTTGATCATAACTTGAATAAAATACTTATCAAAAGAAATCATATATGTATAAAATGAAAGATCGATTGGATCAAATCTTATCCGAATAACTTATTAATAGTTGAAGAAAAAAACCATTTGTAAATCCTTCATTATGATTATTTGTTCAATAAGATTTCATCTTGTCTTGATATCAATATCCTTTCTTCT